TGCAATAATCACCTAGAGGCAACTATTGGCAGCTGTATTTGTAATCTAACATTTAGTGACTTTAAAAAAAACTAAATAAAAATTTGGTCAATCAGAAGGACTTTGACTGCTTTGATGCTTAAACCTAACAGAGGAAATAGCAAGCATTAAATCTAAAATAATTATTCCAAATCTTAGAAGGTTTAACTGTCCGTTTCCCTGTGGGTTTCCTTTCTGATGTTGGTTAAAAAGGTTCATAAACTATTTTCAGCAATGTTTTCCTGCAGCTGCTTCCGAAAGACAGATACTGGATAAAAGTCTGGGAGTATTCCAGCTCCCCTCCCTATCCTCTGCAGGGCCATCAGATTGGAGTTTCAATAGATCACGCAAAGCCAAGAAATAAAGGAGAACTAATGGCTACTGGTATAGATTAGATGTTATGATTAATGAATTACACCAATCAGGCATAACATTATGACCACCTGCATGATAGTGTGTTAGTCCCAATTTTGCTACCAAGTCAAACCAGACCTTAGTAAAATTTCAAAACAAGCATAAAAGCATTTAGATTTATCATACCCAGACATCTATATGACATTTAAATTTCTATATATGATGCACAGTAAATGCAGAAAGTGTTCTCCTTCATGCTTATAACTGAGGAACAGGATATACTTAAGTGTACTGGAGGGAAATTAGCTTATATTAGTCATAACATACCTCTATTCCCAAACTATACTATCACCAGAAAAGTTTCAGCCTCCAGTATTCCCATTTACTACCATTTCTTCTCAAGGAAAGTTTCCCACCTTGAAATTGCAATTGAAATCTCCCCACAGACATCAGGGATTGGTTTCTATGAAATATTGCACATGGTGGCAAATATTCTGAGGAAGGTCTATCACTGTATACGGCAACCAGGTAGATGACAAGATGTAAGGGTCCCCACAGAACACTGACCCTAATCATCACGCCACCTCCTGTATTCCATCCTGGTGCCAGGGAAGGGCAATGGTAGAGGGTTGTGGGCCCTCAGACCCCCCTGTGGCTCTGAATTTCCACTGGGAACCAGCTGCAGTACGCTATGCATTTTCACATCTCTCTAACAGAACCTGCTATAACTTCTCCAGCTTCTCTGTCGGATCTAAACCACTCAAAACCAGCCTTCGCTTTTCCAAATGCATCACTGATCTGTTCTTTACATCACTTCTACTCTACGCCGGCGAAGGTTCTCAGTCATCCAGGGCATAGTCATTCAGGAAAATACACTTACTTTAAGAGATTTTTACTAATTCTCAGAACGTTTTTGCAGTGTGGTGTCCAAGTTTGAGGACATTTCGCTTCCCATCCAGGAGCTTTTTCAATGCAAAATTTCAGGAATAGCATTGAGTTTGAGGCGTTATACAGTAGCCCAACAAAACAAAACCAAGGCTTTGTTGGGCTATAGTATAAAACCTTGAACTCAACACTATTCCTGCTATTTCGAATTTGAAAAGTTACCTGGATGGGCCGCAAAACTTCTTCAAATTTGGAAGCCAAGTCAAGTGGATTGTTTTTGGAATGACTTCTGCTATATATTTACCCCTGCAGAGCAGAAATGCCTGACTGGAGCTGAAAGTTTTTGGCATCACTATCTGAGCACTATTCCCTCAACCTAACTCAGCCAGGTCCTTATAGTATAACACAAAATAAACCATAATACACTGATATTTATAGGTAGTTAGACATTAATATATAAAAAAGGACAAATATCTGCCGAATCCGATGCCAAAAGCAATTTTTTATGCCTCCCTGTTATGCACACAGTTTTAGTTTCATTCATCCATCCAGAGAAATGTGGATTAATTGATTGGATGTTTTCCCTTTCAGCTACATCAGTGAATATCCTCCTTCAAAAGCAGCAAAACCAAATTTGGAAATTTGTCAGAAATCTGAGAAAAAAGCCAGAATTCTAACTTTTTTGTCATATTGTAGTGAGATAAAATGTAAAAATCATTCAACTTTTTATTTTTTTTTTAGTCGCCCTAATCCTCTTCTGTATGCTTGAATAGTAAATCTGCAACTTTTTCCCTAATTCTAGTCTGTGTGCTCACAGAGTGAACTTTCACCACATCTCCTTCCTAGAATGCCACAGCTCTGTGGTGCAGTATCATAAAATAGATCAGGACTTTAAAACATGATCCCTGCAGCTACAGGAAAAAGGGTTGAATCTTCCCAGGCAATAATGAGAGTGGGTGTTAAGGCTGCATGCAGCTTCCTGTTGTAGAGTGATTGAATGGTTACATGCTCGGTTAGACCTGCCTCAGCTGTATAATTGGTGGGAGGGAATAAAAGAAAATAAAATGCATGACTTGTATTTATTCCTGAAGGGAACATATAAGCGCAGGCAACTTTCTGAAGGTGTTTGCTTTGCAGGAAGCGCCTCAGAGAGGCTGCTCCCGGTGCGCAGGTGTCTCTTTCAGAGTCTTACCTTGCAGTAATAGGTGTTCAGCACCGGGTTCACGTCGTATATTTCTTCCACGGTTCCGGTCAGGACAACGTTGGCTTCCTCCTCCCTGTCCTCCAGCTCTTTCTCCGGGCAGCTGGCGGCGCAGGGGGACCACAGGGGCCCCAGGAGGAGCCCCGCCAGGAGCAGCGCTGCGCGGCCGACCCGGAGTGTCCGCAGCGGAGCCATGAGCGCAACAAGGATCCAAACTGGAGAAAAGTTTACTTTGTTCTTCTTGGATTGAGCCGGAGCGGCCGGTGCGCTCAGGGAGAAACTCCACAGGGATCTCTGAGGGGAAACGCTGCAGCGGCTCCTCTTGTTTCCAGCGTCTGATTCACCTTGCAGGTCTGCCGGTCGCTTCTGCAGCCCGGGTTCAGTGTCCCTCTCTGTCGCCGCCGGCTGGGAGTCCAGGAGAGGAAGAGGAGGAGGAGGAAGGGGCAGGGATCTCTCTTTCTTTCTTTCTCTCTCTCTCTCTCTCTCCAGGAATGCAGCTCTTCCTCTGCTTTCCTTTTTTCTCCCACACACACTCACTCTGTCACACACTTCCTGAGGATTTCCATGCAATCTGAATTGTTAGTGAGGTGAGGAGGGTGATGATGGTGGGATGCCAGCTCACAGTGACTATCCAACGCCGCCCCCACTCGGGCAGACAGTGTGTTTACCTTTAATCACTAATCACAGTGATTAAAGGGAAAGACCCCCCCACCATGAGCCCACCACCACCATGTCTACACATGACTTCCAGGATGCAACCTCTGTTTTAATTTTTGTTTTTTTCAATGTGGATTTTTTTCACTATATGGAGGAAGATGGGTACAGTTTTTTTTTTTTTTTTTTGCAGTCTGTTTTGCAGCAATTAGGTTCTGATGTCAGCCTCTGGTCAGTATGGAGTTTCTGGTCCCAGGACATGTGGACAAGCAACATGGGTTGCTTTGTCCTCAAGGCACCATGGGGGGTAGGACAGCATGCCTGGGGGAGTGTCTTGTTATACTCTCTTAAAGAGAGAGGGGTATGCAGTACTTGGAGAAGAGAGTCCTCATGGCCAACTGTGGAGCAAACCTGCATCATCTACCCCAATGAACATGGTTAAGAAAAAAACATGGACATTGGTCCTCAGTGTCCAAAATTATTATCATGGGTTATAGCCCAATACTTTCAGGAGGAACCCCCGAGCAGTGGCTCTAATCTTCCAGGATTTAAAGCACATCGGTTGAGCATTAGGGTTACTTTTCACAACTATTGTGAATCACGAACAAAATATTGTTAAAAAGCAGTTTTGTTTTATGCTGTTTTCAGTAATGCCCCAAAATTTTGAAATGCTCTGTAATGTGTTTTAAAAATAGAGTTAGAAGTTTCTGCCTTTTTTCCTTCTTTATCTTAATTAAAGAATTCAATTCAGTGTTGAACTTAGTTTAATATATTCAATGTGGTCCAGAGACCTTAAAAACTCTTAAATGGCTCTTTAACTAGAGTGAGATAACCCAGATTTGAAAGTGGCAGACCCTAAAGAGGACAGCAGGTTAGAGAGGAGCCAAGATGTCTGAGAACAAAGCAAACCTCTGGCACTTTAAAAATGTCTGATTTTTAAAATACTTAGCTCTGAATTAATTACATTTTATAAACCTTTAAACAGGCAGCCTGTGCTTTTATAATAACAGGAATCAGTGGTTGGAGGCAGTGCTCCCCCAATCATGTTCCTATAGTGAACAAAAAGTGAGAAATTACCTGACCAAGCCTTCTTTAGTGTTGGACCTTCAAGCCTCTGGGTGCAACATTTCCCATATGGAAAAGAAACATAAAAAACTTATAAAATATTTGTGTCACCATTAGTTTGCTTCATGTATTGTGCATCATATAAGACTTATATGATTTACTCTTGAAAGTGGCCACTTTTGCATTTCTTTCATACATGATAATAAAAAGGATAAGATAAGGATCACATCAAAACTATTTATGTGGTATATAAGGAAAGTACATTTCAATATATATTTTCCATAGATGTCCCATATAATTTATTCACTTTTTCACTGTATGACTGTGAAAAAAACATAGACTTTACATATATGAACAACTGCTGTTGTATATAGGTTTTCTGTATGTAAAATAAATGCACTTTGCAGGTTCATTATCCCTTTTTTTGTATGTTTTTTATAAGTATATTATATGTAATTTAACAAAAACATATAGGAATTTGTGCCATTACATGTCTTATTTTTTGTATGTTAAGGCAATACAATATCATGGTCAACTATTTTTTATTTATATTTTTCCTGTAAGTATTTTTAAAACTTAACTTGTAAAAACACATATGTTTGATTCATAATTTTATACAGATTCAAATTACTACTTTAAGAAACAAATTAACACATAAATTTGTCCCTCTCCAACTGTAGATGTACTAAAGTGAATTACACACTAGCAGTTCATAGACTACCCAGTTTGCTTACAGAACAACTACTTCATAGCATTATTTACAGCTCTGCAGTCTATAAATGCCTCTCAACAACTTCATCTGTAATACTGAAGAAAACATGAATGCCGAGCAAACTTTAAATTTTATTACCTCCATTTGCAGTGAACTGACATTACAGTGGAATACTGATCTCAAAACATTTTGCCTTATTTGAACTCTTTCGTGAAAACAGCAAACAAGATGGCATAGTTTTTAGGTGCAATAGCTACCATACAGAACTTTCAAGTATCAACTTGGGCAAAACAAAGGATTGATAAAAACCTGCCCACTTACAGTATGACAATCTATATCCTCACACAAAGTGTGACAAACAAGCCATCTAAGGGGATTCTGGGACAGAGACATTTTTACTTTTGGCTCGGAGTTCTGTGATCTTGGCATTGATTGCGACACCAATGCTGGAGGGTTTGGTCCCAGGCCACTTCTCAAGAGTTGCACCTAAACATGTGAAAAAATAAGAAGGAGCGGAGGGGTTAAAGTACAATTTAATAATGTGAAAGAAATCAATAAATTGCTATATATATATATATATATATATATATATATTAACTAAGACCCTCGATTTTTTATCAGTTAAAAAACCGGGAACCAGCTCTCCAGTAACGTGGTGCTAAGCTGGTAGCGGGAGACACTCGCCTGGACATCTCACTGCCATCCTTAAAGAGGCCCGCCCCTCTTCAGCTAGCGTGACCTCAGGGAAACAACCAGCCCTGGGCCTAACGTTCTAGCCACCTGTATCGTCGGCAGCTGTCTCCCTAAACGTCTTATGCACTTGTTTCAATCCAGGTAGCTTTAATACTCAGGACAATTGAGTATTGGGGCATGTTTATTAGGCCAGAATCAACTTATGAGGCTACTGAAAGATGTTTGTTCAATGTGACCACAAGCTGAGAACAATATATATATGACTAAATAATTCTTCTTGCAGGTTATATTTATTAAAGCTTTGGCAGGGGAAAAAACGGGTCAAATACAGCTCAGCTTGATCAAAAATATGATTAGACGGATGATTTGGAAGTCATTTGGTTAAAAGACATAATATGGGATTTGAGCTAATCTCTGATGTTAAAAACTCTCCAAAAAATACACACACATATGCATATATATATATATATATCTCAAAGCCAGCAGAGAAATTTGTAGCCTATAACAGCATGCCATGAGAAGACCAATAATATACAGTAATCATCAAAATTATTCATACCCTCCAATTAAAGGAGGAAAAAAAATCAGTTGTCAGTGAAATAATTTTAAGTCATAATACAATTAAAAAAATCATAAAAATCATGAAATTGATTTTTAATTGTGGTTCAAATTAAATATTAAAAAAGGAAAAAGAAGTAAACAAGCATCATGGGGCACCTGAAGTAAAATTTTGTTGAGCAACTCTTCGAGACAATCACTGCAATCAGGTGTTTCTGTAACGTCCAATCAGGCGCCTGCACCTGCTGACAGGTATTTTGACCCTCTTTACAACTGCAAGGTGCTCTAATTGGTGTGGAACAGCTTTGTTTGTCTGTTTTTTAAAAACCACAATTCGAAATCAATGTTTAATTTTACTACACTATATTTTTTTCTATTACTTTTTAGTTATTTTAATTACTACTGTGAATTTAACATTTTCTGTAAATTTTAGGGTATGAATAATTTATAAGACAACTGTACCTGAATATAATACAGCATATTATAAACTGAAGAACAGACAAACCTCTGTAAATCAGGCTCATCAATTTGGAAGAGGCATTTCTTCATTAATAATAATTAGGGCTGTCAAAAAATGAATCCCGATTAATCACATTGCTTTTATCACTTTTAGAACACATATAGGATTAAAGGTGTCTCAGTAGGAATTCTGCATTTCTCTTTAGTAGACTACACTACTGAAACCCTGTCCTTCCACGTCTCCCTAAAGTCCTCCAGGTGGAGGCAGTTTTGTCCAGAATGCTGCTGCTACCGTCCACATAGGCTGACTTCACAACTGTATTAGCGTGAAGCTGAAATTCAGCTCTGAATCCTGGACTACTCTCAGATTTATGGTTTGGTATTAGCCTTCAAATTGTGAAACAAAAATTAATGTTTCTTTGCATATAGAAGTACTAAATAATAGAACAATCTCTTGTTTGACAAAATGATTAATTTGTTGACAGCCCTAATAATAATACAATGTGGAAATGTTAAGTAGATACAGTTGTCCCCAAAATTATTCATACCCTCCAATTGAAGAAAGGAAAAAAAAGCTGTGAGCAAAATAAAATGAAACTGACAAAAGTAATTAAAAAAAATTCTGTAAAAATCATGAAATTTATGTTGAATTGTGATTCATAAGAAATATTAAAAACAAACCCACAAAAACACTTGTCTGTAATCTGTAAATAAAAAAAATTACGGCTCAAAATACATCTATACATCAAGCTAAAAACTTACTGTAGATTGCCTCCAATTTATTTTTGTCCAGAGGTAAACGTGCATCCCCTCTGCCTCGTTTTCCCCCTCGAAGGTTGCTCACCAGCAGTGTCTCTGTTGGGAATACTGCTGTGAGCAGATGCCTCACAAAGACTGTAGCAGAATTTGCATTAATAGCATAGGCCCACGCCAGTTTCTCGATCATGACTCCTGTCCCAGGATGGATCTCCACCTGATCTAACAAAGGAATATAGTGACAATTTAGGACCAGTATCAGACAATTCAAGCAACACTACATAACTTTCAGCTTAAAACTCTGTTTATGACTACCGGTAATTTTGATGGCGCTGTGACATTTATATACATTGCAATGTCCTAAGGCTAACAGAAAGCACTTCACTACTTTTTCTTTTGTTGTGGTGCATCACTTGTGACCTGTGCTGGTGTGTGACATCACAGCATAGCTAATTCAGCAAAGAAACCAAAGAGGACATCAGATAAAGAGATGAAATACAGTGAGGTGAGACAAGAGTCAACATTAAACTGACTTTTACTGACTAGAAGAGATCTCAAAGAGACAGGATGCAAATGTTGGATTAGTAAATCTTTGGGGGTTGGGAGGAGATCTCTCAAAGGCTGTAATGCAGTAAAAGCTAATTAAATCTGTCACATGTACAGTACCAGTAAGTATGGACATGTTTCCCCATTAAATCTAATGAGAAAGTGTGTCCAAGCATTTGACTGGTCCTGCATCAATTAAAAATGTTCCTGATAGACAGTAGATCCAGTTTATGCACCTTATTTATCCTTTAAAAATACCTTTGACGACTGGGACTCTCTTGTAGATGGAGTGACAGACTCTGATGAGACGGACGGAGCAGATTCGGGAATGGGCATCTGTGAATCATCAGGCGATGAACCCGGCCTGGACTGTGTAGAACTCTGGGGGAGCTCAAAACTTGATCTCTTAAGAGGTTCAGCTAAACCAATCACATTTTTCATAGTCTTCATGAGTTCGGGCACATCTGTACACAGTAAAACAGAGATGAAAGGTGTTACACTCATTGTTTAAACAAGTGACCTCTTAAAGTATATTAGTTTTGTAATTTTTTTAAGAGTGATACCTTCTACAAGCAACTCCCTCAGTTTGGCATTCTCTTCTTTCAGGTCTTGGATCTCTCGCTTAAGTTCAACCACAGTCTTTTTTGGACTTTGGTCACAGTCAGTGACTGAAAGCGGTGAATGACTGTACATTGCAAGGAATTCCTCTGCAGGGTCTTTCCTTGTGAGAGCCTTTGACTTCTGGACATACAAAGAAATTAAGAGAAAGTAACTGACATGATAAGACAAAGAAAAAGCTGATAGTGGAGTTTAGAATCTGAGGTGTAGAGACAACAGATACAATATCTGTGCCCCTAAGTCAGCATACTTTAAAAAGCTGATTTGACAAGCACAAACATCACGGCTTGTTCCAAAGTTCAAACTACTTGGAAGGCAGTTCAAAATTTCAATTAACTTTTTTCACAATTTAGATGGCTACATCTGATTAATCATTTATCCTTTAACATATAACATAATTCACTGCATGCAGATGACAACTGTGTGCAAGATAGCAGGACCATTAGAGTAGGTTTGTAAAGGTAAAACTGAGTTTCGGCTCTCAAATGATATCAGTGGTCTGAAAAAATTATGTGTACAATTAACTTTTCTAGTAACAGAGAACCTTAGGCACTATAGTCATTGGTAGGGACAAGTGTGCAATGTACAGACAGGGGTGTATAAACAGTAAATGCCCTTTGGAGGCTAGGTCAGCCCAGTTGAAATGGCTGTAGCCTGCATAGACCCCATCCAATGGTCAACATGGACTGCAGACTTCGTTGGCTGGCTTCTTTGAAGTCCATTTCCAATACTCTGTGATGCAGTTGGTATCAAGAATCTTCATGGATTTGTTTTTAATGCTAAAATAGCAGAAGATATAATACAACAGTGTCATCACCACATTAAAGGTCAAAGTTAATTGATGTTACCTTGACTTGCAAAGGCTGCGACAGAATCTGAGTGTCATCTGGATCTGAGTCATCAGAATCATCCTGATAGTTTTTAGGGTGGACTGGTGCCCTCTTGGTCAGGTCTGCTGGTTCATTTTCCCTCAGTAATGCATTACGTTTACGAGCTGCCTCAAAACGAGTAGCTAGAGAACAAAAAGAGGAAACAAACAAAATTACAAAATAATAATCTGCTTATTACTCCAGAACACTTTTTGTATTACCAGTAGGGCTGGGCGATAATTCAATAACGATATATATCGATCGATAGACGTGTGGCGCAATAGAAAAAAAATAGTGTCGATAAAAGTTCGATAAACAAACGCAGTTTTCCTTCCTTCTCATTGTAGCCTAGCATGTATGTTTATGCTAGTCGCTACTTCCTCCCAGCCAATCACAATGGCGGACCCAGGCATGCCGTCACCAAGCGCCGCCCTCTCAAACCACAACACAGAGCACATGAAGATGTCGCAGCAAGGAGAGGCGGAGGAAATTGTTTCAAAGAAGGGTTTTTGTAGTTCGGCAGTCTGGCAGTATTTCGGTTATGGCAAGTCGGACAAAAAACAAACCACAGTCATCTGTAAAATGTGTAGGGAACCAGTGAAAACGAAGTCTGATAACACAACCAACTTTTTTTTTTTATCATCTCAGCCGCTCACACCCGCAGGAGTACGAGCTGTGTAATCCCCGGCGCTCAGGTTAAAGCAGGAAACTAAGCTGAACCATAACGAGGTGCCAGCAGCACCTCTAGAAGAATAGGGGTGAGAAAAAATACCCCATAGAAAAGCTAGGCTAAAGGGTGAGTTGATTTGGGTTTTTGTTCTTGTTGAGTGGAGTTTACATGGTAGCCTAGTCCTACAATCTTTTAATTACCACAAGCTGGTGGTGTACTATTCCCACCCAAATAGGGTATTCTATTTATTTATTTGTTATATTTATTTTGGTCACTTTTCTGGTCACTTTAGTTTATTCTTTGTCAGTATTTAATAACATAACTCAGGTCTCTTAAGTTATTTTTCTTTAAAACAATTCTGTTATGGTTAAAAAAGTTGGTTAAATAAATATTTTATTGGAAGTCGGTGTTTGTGCTCTTTATTAAAATTAAATCATTTAGCAATATTATAAAAAGTCCAGGCAGCGCTGCACATAAAATATGGTTTCAAATCTTTTCAATAATTATCGATATCGATTAATATGCATTTTTTTTTTATCAATAAGCTTTTTTTCTATATCGCCCAGCCCTAATTACCAGACCATGTCATGTTTTCAAGCAACTGCAGTCATGACTATCATTTCTAACTCTGACTACAAATGCAATTGTACATTGGAATGGTTCTTCTGATGTGTGAAAGAGAGAGATAACAAATTAATGTAAATCAGATCGAGAAAGAGACGGATATTTGTCTAAATGCTATGTGATAACATTTCCCATTTTAAGTATTATGCTATCACACTGTCATATTGCAATGTAGTTTTGTGTATAGTACACGTTGTGCAGTTATCAAAGTACTACTAATTCATATTTTACTTAATTTCCATTCATATAAAATTAACTAAATATAAAACCATTCAACATCTAAGAGCAATCATCTTAACAGTTGTGTGCTTTAGTTTACTTTGACATTACAATTTTATAACATTTTGAAGAGCATTAACTAAAATGGTAACAAACTGGCTTAACATTTCAAATTAAATAATCATCATGTTTACAGTACAACATATTGCAAAGTCTCAGCTACTGAGCAAAAAAAGTAAGCACGTAAAACACCAACACGCCAAATTAAGCACATTTTTAGAGAAATGTCATTAGATAGAAAGAGGACAATATCATTGTCAAAACACAGACTTACCACAGACAAAAACAACAGTGCCCATGTAGTGAGGCCACCCTCCTCGCTGTTTCTTCCCATGGCGCCATTCTACAATAGCCGAGTAGGTGGAAATGGGATTCCCATGTTGGTCCATATTGGAGTCGTCATACCTCCGTATGTTATCAGTTTTTACTTCACTAAGCTTCCCAGCATCCTCTCCCTCACTCCACCGCACAACTGCAAACTTCCTCTCCTTGTGTTCTGAAGTAATTAAGAGAACAAAAGAAGAAAGAAATGACTGATATTTATTGACGTCAGTCATTGCTTTCTCCTGGAGAAAAAAAATTATTATACCACAATGTAAAATATTTGTACGGTGTCTGGCTTACGCATATCAAGTTTGAAAATTTTCTTAACGGTCATCATCTGTTTTGATGTGGTTAGCACTCAGCTAACCACTTTTAGCAAGCCTTATATGTGTAATGCACAGACTGCAAATAACAAGTAAACTGAAAAGTACATACCTTTAACATTAGGTGCATTCCTCCGCGTAGTTTCCATCTTTTACAAGACGCACACAAGACGAAGATGCTGCATTAACAGACCAACGCACCTTACCGCTCTTCCTTAGATCACACAATCTCGCCTGACAACGTTCAAGGTCTCGCGTTGAGCTGCCAGGGCGTTGTGGGATTGCCCGCCCTACCTTACCTGTGATTGGTGTTTCCTGATGTTTGACCATACTCTTAACAAATTACGGCCCTCAGAGCTCAAAGCAAAGCAAAATAGCTTCTATAGTTTTAGCGGTTTTCCACGGAAAATAGAGTAAACTGACTACAGCAATGCCGAAAAGAAAACTCGTTACATCAGACACAACTGAAAGAGACTGGCTGCGGAAAAATGTTCCTACTCGTACCTTGACCAGATGGGAAAAAAAGTATGCGCACTGTTTTTTTCTTTTTTTCCTTTTTTTTTACGGTAATAAACTTTATTAGAAAAAGTTTTATAATACAGAAAAAGGAAAAATTTACAGTGAACAATCACCAGGGGTTTGAGCAAAAGAAAAAAAAGTAATTAAATAAAAGTAAAAATAGTAGTAACAAATAGAAGCATATAAAGGGATTATATAAATACTTTACGTTTTAGCAGCCTTTTTATTATTGGAGGAGGACAATGTAGAAAAATAAGCAGTTGCTTCCTTTAAAAAAGAAATACAGGAGGGTTTAGTCACAATGATTTTACATTTGTTGATATAAAACTTGGCCAACAGTAACAAGAAGAAATGTTCAGAAAGTTATTTTTTATATTTTGTGATTCCAAATAAAACATATTTAAAATAAAGTTCAAATTTATCATAAATATTGTCCAGAATGAAGCGACAGATACCTTGCCAAAAACGCCTGGTGTGTTCACAGGACCAAAACAAATTAGAGACAGACTCTGAGTAAATATTGCAGAAAGTACAAGTGTTAGAGAAGAAGAAGTTATGTTCATAGAATAATAATAGGAATATGATGCCTGGCTATATGCAAAAATGCTAAACTTAGAAATATTTCAACTGTCCATTGTTATTAATTTTTTCATCTTTTAGTGAATTTGTGATCTTTCCTTGATTTTATTGTTGTATTATATTGATTCTTAGTTTAATCTCTTATAGTTGTGTCAACAAAAGTAAATTCTGTAAGTGTTTTCTATGTTACTTACAATAGCTTAGCATCACTTATGTTTGTCTGACTTATATAAGTTTGATACTCAATTTTTCTTATAAGGATATTGTATGCGGAGTTACTGTCATATATTGTTCTTAGAAGTACCCAAATCATATATTTTCCCTTTTATACAATTTTTCTATAGATTTTATATCTGGTTTCACTCTCATATGCATTACATACAAGTTTCAGACAACACAAATAGAAATCTTACAAGATTTATCTATATCTTTTCCATATGGGTTGGTTGCTGATGTTATTGCTTATTCTGCTCCTCGACAAAATGACGCTCTGGGCAGGGAGTTATATCCCCCTTATAAAAGAAAACAAACACTTATTGCTATTTCCCTACAAGGAGCCAGGCTTTCCTAATCTTTTAAAGGGTATCCGATCAATTTTTTCCAGACTCTGAAGGTTTTTCGTACGTTATTTCCTATTTTCATACTTGTGAAGCTGTATTTTTGTTCAACCTCAAGCCCATATACAAAATTTTATACAATTTTTTTTGTTACAAAAAAAATCTCCAGATCTCACAATTTAAACACACCATTCCTTAATTAAATAAACTACTGTATACCGAGTTTCCAAGTACAACCTTCTTAGAGTTGCTTATGTATTGCTGCTGTTATTTAAATACTTTTCTAAATGTTTATTTAATTGAGACAGCTAGAGCCAAAGGGATCCAGTCAATGGATCTCTGATATTACATTTTGGTCATCTACCAGATTTAGCCGTTGTTTTCTCTCTAAAGGTTTACCTGGTTACTCTAGTTGTAAAATCCTAAAACAGACATTGAAAAGGTGAAAAGCATAAAAAAAGATTAAAAGACACTTTAAAAATCCTTAGAACCACTGAGAAATATCTGTTTAAAGAAAATGCATAAAGCAGCAAGAGAGAACTCAAGCCCAGGTTTGGACCGGTAATCTGTGATACCAGGCGTTTGCCCGGTGGGCCGGTCTTAATTTCAGTGTGCAAGGACCGGCCCACCTTAAATCATACCGGCCCCAACACTTACTCTTTGGCCGAAGCTCCTACCTGTGACAGTAACTCAAGGAGCTCAAGAAATAATACAATCTTTACTATCCCAATGATGCATAGAGTACAGACATGGGAAGTAACGAAGTACAAATACTTCGTTACTGTACTCAAGTAGATTTTTCTGATATTTTTACTTTACTTTACTACTTATTTTTATGGCGACTTTTTACTTCTACTCCTTACATTTTTAAAAATTGCCTCGTTACTTTAGTTTTGAATAATTTCAATGGAGTTACCGTTATTATTTTTCACGTCATCAATACCAAATTCAATCTAATTGGATGGGAATCTACGTTGCATTTGACGCACCACTACAAGATGAATCGACAGATTCGGCGGTATTCATTCGCTGCAAATCATTGTAGCTTGGTGGCGGTGGCGTTAGCATAGTAGTATGGATGACGAGATGATTGAAAATGAACAGAGAGCTAGTCCTATTGGCAGACATCCATTTAAAATGTAGGCAACGCCATGAAAAAAGTGGTTTATACTTTTACTTTTATACTTTAAGTAAATTTACAAGCCTGTACTTTGTTACTTTTACTTGAGTAAAGAAGTTTAATCAGTACTTCCACTTTTACCAGAGTATTTTTGAACACAAGTATCTGTACTTTTACTCTGATAGAGTATATAAAGCCCTGCCTTGTCATGCACATACTTGTGACGGTTGGCATATGGTGTAATTTTCTATTTCTTCAAACTGTAAAATCCTTGCAACAAACTAAATAATAATAAAAATAAAGGATTTCTTTAAACGAAACTAAGATGTTCCTCTTATAGTTGACGGATTTATGTTAAAATATTTCGCAAAAATATGTTGCGGTGCATGATGGGGTTCTGAATCTGTTCACATTATTCCATTTCATTGCCCACATGCCACCAATACTCGCAGTCAGAGATGGCAAAAGTACTCACTTTCCGTACTTGAGTAAAAGTACAGATACTTGTGTTAAAAAATACTCTGGTAAAAGTGTGAGTGGGTCCATAAGTGGGCCGGTGCAGATGAAAAAATGCAGGCCGAAAATCGTTCCCAGTCTGAGCCTGCTCAAGAATTTTAAAGTGCTTCATCCTTTAAAATATTTAGAAGTTGTATATAATACTATATCTATTGCAAATCTGGTTTGATGCATCATATAATAATTAGTGGTATTGGCCTACCTGCTGTTACAGCAATGAGTATTAATCTGAAAGCTGGCATCAAGCACATCAGGGATCTGAGGTTTTTATAATGTCTCTGCTCTAATTAAGCAGTAACAACCCAAAGAAGAAGAATATAAGAAGAGATTGCATTTTGGTCAAGCACTGTTGAACCCATTTTGAAAATCTTGTTTAAAAGATTTTGTTTTACAATCATCAACGATATCACCTCCTGCTGGCAGAGCAAATATATTACAGCATCTATGGTTAGAATCCAATCTGTGCTTTTTTGGTTCCAAAGTAAATGAAAAACACTAAAAGTATCTTATTGCTTTTTAAATATATGTTCGAAATTTGCGAGTCATATAGTTGAAATAACCTGGAGTGATTCTACCATCGGAGAGACTCATTTGACTTAGCCAAATAGTTCATTCTTACTTTGGGCTCCTTTACTGGTAAAATCTGTAAATGATAAGCTAAGCCACAAGTCATGAAAGATCCTAACCAAACAAGCGTCGTATGTCATTAAACGTGTCCCGTTTTGTCATAAAGCATCCCATCATTCAGCCTGTAAATGCAACCATATGTTTTGGTTCTGTCAGAGTTTCTCTGACAGAGAATGGAGGCCAAATTTCCTCCGCCTCCAAAAGGCGGTAATTTTAACTGCTGATCTATTCCTGGGAAAATGACAGGCTTGGTTCCACACAGCGGCTTCTGAGGGTATCTGCAGAAATGTGTTGGACTAAGTTTCAGCAGAGACAGCTGAAGTTACAACAGTTAACCCAACGTACGTTTTAAATGACTAATTATTATTGGTCACTGAAGTTTTTTTTTTTGATGCAGTGCTTTATGGTGAACTTGGCCCCCAACATCATTGTTATTTATTGGTGTGTGAGTGCATGCCTGAATGACTGAAGTCAGTGTGAAGCGCTATGGTCAAATCTACTGACTTGAAGAAGTGCTACAGTATATAAGTGCAGGCCATTTACCATGAACCTGATAAAAAGGAAAAATGTGACCTTTTCCCTTTTAATTAGTTTTTTACCTTTAAATATTTTGTTAAAATATAAACACTAATCTAGTTTAATTTTTTCATATAGACTGAAAAATCTGGCTCTCTGGCCCCAAGTAGCAAAGCAAACATACAGATAAATGTGTTTTTTTGGGGGGCAATACATTAGAAAGGAGAGATTCTCTAAATAAAATAAAATAAAACTTGTTTGTCTGTTTGAACTTGTGCATGTTTTGACATCAACTAGATGAGCCAAGTCTTTCACAAAGCTTGTGTGTCATGCTTTGCAAGGCTGCAGCTGGACAGACGTGCAGAAGAGAGCTTGGGAGTAGCATGGTGAGGAGAAGAGCTTTTATTGATAACAAAGAGGAAAACCAGACATTGAGAGCACAAGGAGAAGAGGCCTGGACCAGGTGTTAGTAACTATGGAAACCAGGGAACCTGGTTACAGAGGAGAGGAGATCGATGATACGGGAACCAGGTGGGTCTGATCAGGGGGGTGTAGATCAGCTAACAAAGACGACTAAGCTGAGAACTGAGGGAAGAAGACTAATTAACCCCGAACACAAACAGATGCAACTTTGACACAAGAGCATATATGAATCAAAAAAGGGAAACACACACATGCACACACTGCAAAAAATGTAAAACTAAATAAGTAAAACTTCTTGAATTAAGTGCATTTGTTCTTGAATTGAACAGGTAAGTGACATACTTTGCCAATTGAATTAAACAATTTACATTTAAAATAAGAAAAAACAACTGCCGT